ATATATATAAACAAGCAGAGTGTACATAATATATTGTCATTTATGTTTAGTAGATTAAATGTAATAGAACTTGTAAGCTTATTTATTCATTCATTAATAGACATAATGTTTTTCCCACACATTTTTAAACGTATCATGGGTATTTACTTACAGAATCAACGTATTTATTCCCTGGCAATGTCGTTGTGAATACATCAACAATATCAACTATACCCCCACCCCCAGGGCAGTGCAACTGATTATGTATTTTGGCCATTCCCAAAGGGGGATGTGAATATGTTCTTATGCACAGTTGAAGCGTATAGGCTGATTTATCAATGTCATACTCATACTGTGCCGGAACAGCATAGAGGGAACTGCTGCTTTTTCTTTCCTCTTCCTTACTATCGTTACTTTTCCTCTACTTCGTTTGTATGTTTGTCACTCTCTTGTGAACTGCTGTTTCCGGGGTGCCTTACTAATCGAAGCGGACTTTGTGCTGTTAAGGCTAGAGAGATGAGCAGTGTAAGCATGATTCCCTGTTTGGACTTCTCTGTTGACATCCACCCCTTTGAGGTCATATTATGACCTTATGCAGTTGTGAGCGTCGTAAAACCTTACTAAAACTAAATAGATACTGCAAAGAGTCTGCCTGCTTGCAATACTAGTAGAAGTGAACCCAAGGACATAGAATCTAGCGGCAATGCAATACAATGTAGGCTATTATCTTTTTGCTGTGTGGGGCACTAGCCTGTAGTATTCACACTATTGTATTATTGTACAGCACTTAATCCGTTTCGTAAGCAAATTTCTCTGCTTTGGGGAGATATTGATCTAATAATAATAATTTTAAAAATAAAATAATAATTACATTCGTATAGCGCATATCCACTCTCTACTGCATACTTAATACCCTTTTCAACTAGGTACTATTACCCCAGCATTATGTTTGTACATTGTTCTTGTTCTTGTTCTTGTTTCAGGAAGAAACATCCCTGCACTCCGGACATGTCCATTGATGCTCCGTTGCTCTCTCCAAAATGTTGCCGAGGGTCCTTCCACTGATTGTGCCAGCAACGATACTAGAGAGAGTTTGTACATTATATATGGGTGAATTCCCCCCCCCCCCTGCAAAAGATAATCAGTTTTGCTGTCGCAGGATGCAATTTGCATCTCTCTATACCATTTTTTTTTCTTCCAAAGTGTCTATGATCGTCAAGAAATCTCGCCACACGGTATTTAGTTGAACAAATTAATAATTTTGTAATTTGTAAAAGTAAAGTACCCCCCCCCCCAGGGCCCATAATATGTCGTTTTGCGTACCGATGATCACAACCAGTTGTTTCCTGGTCCTGCCAATCAGGTCAAATCAGTTCCGAATGAATGGGGTGGGGATTGCATTTTGACTTTGACCTGGTCTTGTGAGGAGAAAAGCTTTCTGTATACGATGTACTGTGTTTTTTCTTTGAGACTCTTCAAAGTTTCTCTTTCCCTCTAATGTGCCCGGATGTAGTGCAGGAGCGAGAGCGTCGAGACCAGGGCCCACGTAGTCCGCCCCTGAAGGGCATTTGCGGAATCTGAAAAGTAGGGAGAAGAATGGCGTGGGTAGTGTCAAGAGAAGTGATAAGTGGCACGTGCGAGTGATGTGTGTGATTTAGAATTGTTCCCCAAACCTGAGCGTTTCAACAGTTATGAGTAATAGTTGCTGTGGTATGGTAATGGTAGTGCATACTGTGGGTGGTGGCAGTGGACTTTGCAGCAGCAGTAGTAGTATCAGCAGCAGCGATAGTGGTAAAAAAGAAGAAGAAGAAGAAGAAGAAAAAGAAGAAGAAGAAGAAGAAGAAGAAGAAGAAGAAGAAGAAGAAGAAGAAAGAAGAAGGAGAAAGAGAAGTA